GTTGAAATTGGGGAGTTTTTCATTTCCTGGTGTGTATGCATCGAGACAGGATTTTATTTTTTTGTAGCTAGATATGGTTTAGTCAAAATAATAGAAGAGTAATTAAGCAAATGCTCTCAGTTTAGTGTCAGAAGGGACCATTCTTGCTTCCAGCCTGGTCTTTAAAAACTGTGAAAATGTGCAGCAAACTGATGTCACTCGTTTCTAATTAGAGCCTTGTTGTATTCTGTATTTGTGAGGACTGATTTTAGTATCTGCAGCTGAAGGAAGGAAACCCTTCAAATGTTAATGCATCTGAGAGAGGGGTGTGTGAGCTGTACGAGGGAAACCCACTGCTGCCACACCAGGCGGAGGGCTGAATCCGGCAGCCTTCCCTCTGGCCAAACTTCCATTAAACTTAGAAAGGTGAAAAGTGTCTGTTCTGCACATCCAACGGGAATTTCCCCCTAAGATGGATGCTTCATTAGGAGGGTGGGAAAACCTAAACTCAAACAATATATGCCATTTGTGTGATGCTCTGAACTAGAAGCGTGTTGCTCCCCTCAGGGATGTAGCGGTAGCTTGGGGACCTGCCATACGCTGGCCTCAGCCAGGGGGGTGCACAGGGTGTTCACTGCCACTAGCAACAGAAGTAAAGACTTCCACTTCCTGACGTGAGGACATTTTTGACTTGAGTGTGTGTTTTATGTGAGTAAGGATTTGGTTTTTACAGTCTTGTCAGTCACATGTTTTATGTTGTTTTATTGTAATGGGTGACTGACAGGTAAGAGAAGGTATGATCATACTTCTCAAAAGCTTACAAAAGCATTAAACAGTTGTTAAGCATGTTCTCTTTCAAATGACAAACTGATCATGTATAAATAGTTGGAATGAGAAGTTTGTTGTAGGTGTACAACATCTTTTATTTCTTGTTGAACTGGGCATAATAAATCACTGGGTTACAAGCCAGTAAGGCAGTGTCAGGGGGAAATATTTTTCTCTTCATGTGCTTTAAAAAGAGCCTTGAAAGTAAGGCATGCTGGAAGAGTTGTGGGGAATGTAACAACCAAGTATTAGGTGCTATCGCTTGATGTTGCACTGAGGGAACTGAAGAGCAGCTGGGTGCCACCGGCAGCTGCTGCTGCCCACTCCTGTGTGAGACCACGTTAAAGCGTGGCTGGGTTTTGCTTGTTTTCTGTGGTGGAGGGCCCTGGGTTCATCACACTGTGTGTGTTGCTGCAGCATCTGCTCTTCCAGCAGAGAAAAAAGGAAACTAGTGGGCCAGCTAAAAGTGTCCTGGGGCCAGATCTGGTCAGTGTATCCTGCCAGCACAGGTAATGATTAAGGTTTACCAGTACAACATGGTCTTCACAGGATTAAGAGTATGTGTTTTGCATGAGAGTTAAGAGGATTGTGGATTGAGAGTTTGTTAAATCTCTGATAGTGGCAGGAGTTTGGAGTAATTGTTTTAAAAAAAACCCCACAAAACAGTAAATGCATCATGGGCTGCCGAAGTTGTAAAGCAGACTGTGGTATTAGCTGCAGGAGGGTTGAACAGTAGTAGAACAATATCAACTGTTTCACTCCTAAATGTTAATTAATACGTCTTTTTATTACTGACTCAATTTCTGCTGCTAGCTCAAACTTTTCTATTGCTGTCGATGCCATTTGGCCATTCTGAACGTGGCCACACTTTGCTCAACAGTCAGTGCCACCTGTGGGGGGCCCAGAAACCTGCAAGAACATGGTGGGGATGAGGAGCCAGCAGGAGGGGCTTCAAAGAACAGAAAACTTCATCCATTAGCAGAAAATCCTTTTAAAGGAGTTTGTTCCCTTTCTAGCCATGTGTCAGAAACCTCTGATAGAAGGCACTGGAAACTGGATGATGGATTTTAAGAAGCGGTAGTCCACCCCCCATTTAGCACTTACATTTACAAAGTAAAATTAATGAAGTTAATTACATCTACTCAAAATCTTGGTTATGTGAATTACTTAGATCTTTTGAAATAGAGAAGTAATTTCTTGCAGGGTTCATGGGCTTTTTTTTTTTTTTTCAGGCTTGGTTGGTTACTTTGTTTTATTGTCCCCATGATGGATGCTGGTATCAGAAACACTCTGGGGTGTACCATTTAGAGTAATACAAGATGTCCAATTCAGATTAAGGGCCACTGCAAGGTTCAAAACAAAATCAATGAAATAATTAGAAAAATACTATTAAAGACCAATTTCTAACAAAGATGAAAAGGAGAATAGATTCAGAGCGTTAAAATGTAAAGCAAAATAAAATGGGAAGGTGCTTAGAGGATAGAAACACTTTTTGTAATTAGCAAAGAAAACGTCTAACATACAGCTTGTCTCACATTTACTTGTTCACTTTGTTGTCATCGTTTTCAACATGCAGCTTTAGCCAAAGGAATTTTTAGAGGTGTGTTTACATGTTAAGGTGGGAAGGTGGGGAAAAAAAAAAAGCCCACAGAATAATCTGTGTGATCCATACATTTAAAAGTAGTACATTACAGTCTATAGTATTCAAGATGAGGAGTTCAAACGATGTTTGGAGAGATCAAACATACATGATTATGAGTCTTTAACTGATAATTTTATTTTAAAATTACGCAACATGAAGGTTGACATTAAAGATAAGCCCAAATTTAGGGCTGGGGGAATACTTCAGCATCTAATTCATTTTTTCACCAAATTGTGTGTTGTTAATAAACTTTTCTGCAGACTTAAATTAAAACTTTTTCTTGGTTTGGGGTTTTTTTGGTTTGGAGATTTTTATTTTTATTTTTTTAATTAAAACTCAAATAGAAGTTTCTTATTTGGAAACACGCCTCATGTGTCCTGTAGTGATTTAAACTTAGATTTCTGTATAGTAGTTATTTACTGCTGTGCCCTGGGCTTGCATTTGGCCTGTGCCTCCTGTGGCACCCCATGAGCAGGGCCTTCCAGGCTGTCTGTGTCCATGTGTCTGTTGAAAAGCAGAATGTCTGTGTTTTGTGAAACATAATTCAGAAAGAGCCTGGTTTACATGGAAAATAAGAAGGTATGTATGTTACTAGAGCTTTCCTGAAACATTGCAGCAGCACTTCCAAATGGAAAACTTCAGATTTTTTGGTTAAAAGGCTTGTGTTTTGATTTTTCTGTCAATAAAATTCTTAATTCTCATTGCGTACAAGTTCTCATTATGCACAAAAGCAGTGCTAACAGAAATTCATTTCCCAGGAGAAAAGGCAAAAGCATCACATCTGCAATCCTGATACAAATAATTACCCCCATAACATATGCAGTATGGTAATATGAGGTTAAGCAAGGCACGAAGGCTCATGCGGTGGCCCAGCAAACATGAAGAACAACAGGATTTTGAACAGCCATATTATTCTGGCATTTAGTTAGGGCTCTCTGAACATGCACACTTGAAAAACCAGTTTAACAGCAACATGTGCTGGTTGAGCACAGAGTCGGGTAAGTAAGTCTGGGCAGGTGTTGGAAATCCTTCAAGGAAACAAATATTCTCGACTGATGATACTTCTCTAGGGCATCAGGGATGTGAGGTGTCGTTTGGAGTCGCATGACTGCAGGTGGCATTCCTTTTGTTAATGACTGAGCCATACCAACCAAAGGAAGTCCTGCTTCCATTTCAGAAAACCTATAGTTAACTTCTTTTGTTTGGGTTGTCTTGGGCTAGATTGATTGAGGGAGGAGCTGTCTTTGGTTTGTGCAGTGTCCAGCACAAGGAGTTGCATACCTGGGAGTGAGGTTCACTAAGAGCTGTTACAAGAAGAGCAAAGTGGTGTCTTATCCTCTAAAATTACATTTTAGTAAAATACATGTTCTAAAACCCCAATAAAATTCACATGGAGATAAAATATTTAATGTGACTACTGCTTGAATTGTACTGATTACAGGAGCCATTAACATAGAGGGAGCATTCATCTGAAAATTGGCAGTTTTAGAAAGAATCAAAATCGTCAAGTTAGATGAGTTATCATAGGGACTTGGGTTTTTTCCATCTGTGTTTCGTGTAGTTAATAGTTTTACCTAAATGTTCGAGATACTGTGTGCTTGTCATAATTTAATTGTTTTTATTCTGTTCTGCTAAGAACAGTGAAGCCCTTTATTTTCTGTTTGCTGCTGTGAAATTGTTTCAAGTTTTACAACTTCACAGATATATAGACTGTGTCAGCAGTTTTTAATTGTTCATATTTATGATTTTGCAAGATCCTGGAGGTTAAGCCCCTCAGCTGTCATTGTTCTCTTTCTCTTCACTGCTGATGGGAACACCTTAGCAGCAGCAGCAAGTAAACTGCTGGTAAAAGGAATTGTAGCACTAAGATAAAGTTGTTTGTAACCTAAGTGCTTCTCTGAGAATCACAGTATGAGGAAAAAACATATTCAAGGAATCAGTCAATTGTAGCTTTCTTCTAATGTACTATATTTACAACCTCTGACAATTTGAGCTGAGCGCAGCAAAAACCTGTCCTAATTGCAAGGACTGCAAAAAAATACAGGCACTTTTTTTGCCCTGAATAAATGGTTATTTCGTCAGGCTGAAACACATGTCTGCGTTACGAAAGAAAGCAATAACAGTGCTGTGTCTGCTTATGAAGTGGTTGGAAAAGAATGTACAAGTCCAGATTTTTCTTTGGCTCTACCTAGATTTCAGATAAAACACTCGAGCATATTCCCTGGTACTTCCAATTCTAAAGGGAATATTGTACATTTTGATGATACTTTTATTACCACTTTTCACTTCCAAGAATGTCTGTAAGATTTTGGTACAGTCCTATGCAATAGTATGCCAAGAGTAAGCTTTTGTAATTCTGGATTGTAAGTATAGAAAATAACAGAGGATTTCATACCGTATCTGTAATTCATATCGGCACCAAAGTGTTTATGATTTGAAAGGGATATGCATTACTTTTGTGAGACTGCATGTAAATATATATATTTAGGCAATATTTTTTTTTTCAATGTTGCTGACTTGACTTGTAAAATAACTGTTGTTTTTTTTATCTTAGGTCTGAGGGTAACTGTGTTACTAACATCATCCCTCATGGTATTGGGAGCTGGCCTGAGATGTGTTCCAGTTTCAGACCTAGAAATTAGGAAGAAGTAAGTGAATTTGTTATTTTTTATACACATATTTTATATTTTCTTCTAATGTAATTTTTGCTGCTACTGCAAAGAAATGTTAGTACAAATTTTCTGTATGAATTTGACACACCAAATGTTTGTTGCGTGAACAAGGGCTTACATACTTCTTTGCTTCCTAAATGGATTTTTCTACTCCGCCTTCTACATAGTATCTGAAGATCAGAAAGCCCTTTACAACCTTGAGTTAATTAAGCCTCACCCCATCCTGCATAACTAATATTAATCTGCTTTGCAAACAAGGAAGCACAGATTTAGAGAGGTTCAGAAACTGGCCCAGGATCACACAGGGAAACATGCCACAAACCCCCAAAATATGTAATCTGTATGCAAATGTTAAATAATTAGCTCGTGTTTCTCGTATTGGATGTATGGGATTATGCAGTGAGATGGATGAATTTATGCAAAATGGCCTTTTTCATGTAGTCTCTTCTAGTCTGCACTCTGAAGTGTCTCTGTACTTTTCCTGTGGTTGAAATGAATGCTCTCTGTACACGTGCTATTTAAGAGTCTCTGATAGAGACAGATTGATTCCTAAAAATCACACAATCCAAACAATTCAGTTGTCTCATCAACGTATCCTGAACCTGGGAATCCTCAGTAAGTGCAGGAGTCACACTCGCTTTGTGCAGCCAGGGAATATGGGTCACTTATTCACTTAACTTTCTTTGGCCTCTCATGCTGAAGGAGGACGGAGTACTGGCATTACTACATTTTTCTGCTTCTTTAAGAACAGCTAGCTGTTCACTAGTTATGCTTGCATAATATGTAAGCACTAAGAAAATAACATATTTATAAAAGATTTTTATGTGGGTTTTTCCCCCTTGAATTCTAGTCTGCTTACAGGCTGTCCTTGTATTATTTCAGCAAGTTCTTTTTTTTTTTTTTTTTTTTTTTCTCCTTAGTATTGCTTACCCTGAAAATCACTTGGAAATTTTTAAGTTGAGAAAGAAAATGTTTGGTGTGAAGTAGAAGGCAGATGACTGGGTACCATGGATAAAACAAAGGAAGAGTTTCAGAGAAAGGACTGAGAATGTAATAAACACATTGATTGTAAAACTAGTACCGATCAGGAATAAGTAGCTAGTATGTAATGAATGGCTTAGTAAACTAAATGCAGCGTGGTGAGTAAGGGGGATGCAATTTCAGTTTTTAGGTGCTTAGTAGTGTATAAGGAAACAAAAGGTGCTTCTGATGTTAGTTGCCCAGTGTTGCCTATTTCAAGGTGGTGTTGAAGGACTTTGTGTGCAAGGCAGGCTGAACTATCCATATTGTGCTACCGTTCACAGTGACCCTTTTAAGGTGAAAATGTACTGTTAAGGTGGCCAGGAAGACCTTTCCTCATTGTGCCCTTGTTTTACCTTTTCTCAAGATGCTAAGCGGTGCTCAACATCCAGTTCATCCATTTGACCAATCTTGGATTAAATATATATGTATTTTAAATGAGCCAGATGGCTTAAATGCAATGAAATGTGGTGTCTTATGTAGCTTTTCATTTATGAATTATGCCAAAAGACTTGTGCTGTCCTAGGTTTTACCAAAGCAAGGATGAAGACTGTAAGAACCTGAGAAGAAATTCTCAAATGAGATTTAGATGTGAAATATCATTTGGGGAGCGGGATGGAGAGTTTCCACATGTTCTGATCACCTTTAGACTAGGTTTTCCAGTGTAAGTGCAGCAAGGAGACCTAGGAGAACAATTAAAAAAATGCCTAAGGAGAAATATTCAAAGAACAGCTTCTTTAGCTAGGGAAAGAAAGGCTGTAGGCTGTATAGAGTCTGATGAGATGTACAAAATATGATGATACATTTTACTGAAAACTATATAGGCAAAAAAAAAAAAAAGATCATGAGCAGAATCCTGATGGAAAAGGTTACTAATTTCATTTACTCGTGCTGTGAAAATATGTATAATCTCCATCTGAAATTGTTAAATTTGCTTATGTAGTCTGCTCCAAAAAAAAGAGAAATTTTCAAGAATTGCAGCTCTACCTGAGGAGGAAGTAGTTTGATCTTTTGCACACTTTGATTAAAAATCTACGGAGAATGAATTATGGCTGTGTGAAGAAAAAGATAGTTTTCAGTGGAGGTTTCTTGAGACATTATAAGTAATTGTACAGACTGTGCAGTGTTATACCAGCTAACCTACATTGTTTTGAGGACTAAGACTGAAGTCCAATTTTCATCTATTACTTGAAGCGTGATACCAAATAAAATAATGTTTTTGAGGTGAGCATTACTGCTTAATTCACTGGCAACAACTGGTGGAGCACTAAACTATGCATGCACTTATTCTGAATGTGTATATTTGTTAATATGACAGTTTGAACATTGCAGAGCCAGTCAGATGAGCAAGATCACACACAAGCTAATGTTGGAGTATTTCAGAAGCCAGCGTAGCTGGAATTTCTTTAAATGCTTTTTTGCATGTTTTGTAATGTGTTCCTTCAGTCCCCAGATAATCTGCAGTAATATGCTGAAGGATTTCCATGGGGCAATTATGTCGGAGTTAAGATACATAAAATTACAAGAACGTTCATGAGGTTTGTCAGGTTTAGGGATTTTTTTCTGCTTTGTAGCTGTCTCTGCTCCCTAAGCTCTTGTAATTTAACATTAAGGAGAGCTACTAAAGCCCATTGCCTATCAGAGCAATCACAGACGTGGGGAAAGTGCTGTTAAGACTGATATTTAATCCTGACTGCTTTATGCTCCTTATCTCACACAGAGCTGTAATATCCAAGTGCATTCTTAAGCTCTTTTCTAGTCTATAATTATTACTTTGGCTCTAGCGTGTAACAGCAGACTAAGACTATCTCCAGTTCCCCAAGTCATGTTTTAAACACAAAGCTTAACCTCTGTTTTCAGTTCATTTGATGCCCATGTATATGCACGGCTTGTATGAGGGAGAGTTCAGGTTGCGCATTTGAGCATTTCTCTTGAAGCAGCTCTTCCTTATGGTGAATTTTCCTTCTCTGCCAGTGTGTGACCTAAAACCATACTGGGAATCCATGGCAGAACTGCTTAAATTCAGTGAAGGCTGAAGTGAGAGTGCCTGGCAAAAATGTGGAAGTATGAACTTGCATGTGAGATTAAGAAACCAGTCTATACATGGACTAGTAAAGTCCCTCTCATGTACACATATGCTCTTAACTTTCCTGCTTTCCTCCCCTGCCCACTAACCTGTGAGGTTAATGTGTGTGTCATACAGACAAAATAATTTTTCTCATGTACCATGTACTTCTTAGTTTGTCAGATGTGCAAGATATGTGATGGTGAATTTGACTTTTAAAAATAAATCCCCAAACCATTATTCCTTTGTAAATATTATAAAAAACTCATTTGCACACCTGTTTTTTTAGTTCATAGTTAATGTAAATTATATAGAACATTTAAAAAAGATGTTATCAGATTGTACCATTTCTGAACTTGTATGTTCTTTCCTTCCCTGAGGGTTACAAGAGCATCACTAATGCTTCTTTGCCTGCATTTTGTCTGGTCCTTTCCTTTTTTGACTACTGCTTGGCACTGAGCGAATATTTTCATTGAACTCTTTTAGAATTTGATTGTTTTATCCTGAGCATTAACATTACTAGGAGGTCATATTTTTATAGGCAAAATCAGGATTGTTCTCCCCACATAATACTTCATATTTATCTCATATTCTGTGTTTAGGGATAGATTTACCTATGGATCAGGTCTTCCATATGATTGTAAAATAATAAATCTAGGCAAAAAGCTGTATGAGCTGAAACATATAAGAAAGAAGGAAATAAATGATGAAATCAGCCCATAGCCATAAATCTGTGGCTTTTAAGACTGGCCATGTGATGTAAGACTTCTTAAAATGTTTTGAAAGACAGGATAATTAAAGACATGGAAGTAAAGAATGTAACATAACTTGTTATTTGTATTGAATATATTAATTAAGCAATTTATTAGGACTTAATATGCTGTGGACTGGTAGTGTTTGGCCTTCACATTAGATTTCACAACAGAGAAGTAGTTATTGAGGACCCTGAGTCACAGCAGTGAGAGGGCACTCCTTGGCAGAAAGTACCATTAAAACATTTGTTGGGAAGCCAACAAAACAATGTCATGGAGAATGACATTAGAAACAGGAGCGGTTATTTACAAAGTCATTTATGGGGGACACACCAGTAATTGGTAGATCCTATAAAGGGTTTTTTTCTTTAATAATAACATTTCTTACGATTTTTAAATGTTTTGCCTACTCTTGGATATATTGATGTTAACTTTTTCCTTTATTATATTTGAAAATTTGCTCTTACCACATCTTTGGTACTTTTTCTTTCTATTAGCTAGTTGCAACCTAGTTTGTATTTATTCTTGTTAGACTTATTCTTTAACAGTTCCACATTTTCCCGTTTTCATCCCTGAAAGTCTAAAAAATGACATGGTATCATCACATTATTTGTTTTTCCTGATCCTAAACCAACCACGAGCCACTATTTTTATGCATGAAAAACATAAAGGGGTGCCTCAGAAGAGGTAATTCTAGTAAAGAAAAGACATATTAGGATTTTCATATTCCCTGGCAATACTGAACATACTTCTGTGCTCCAAAAAACACCCCAAACTGGAGCAGCTGCGGAGAAGAGGGATTAAAATGTTCCAGGGAATGAAAAGAGCATTTTAGGAGAGAATGGTGGAAGAATGTGCCTGCAAGAAATAAAGACAGAGTGTGATGCATATTGTGCACTCCCTAACTCACTGGGGGAGAGAAATGAAAAAAGTATTTAATCTTAAAGCATGGTTCTGGAAGTAAAAAGATGAATAAACATACCTGTTTGTAGCTCAGAGGATTTAGGAGGAAGATGGTAAGATGGAGCATTTGCCTGGCACTGATGGCACTTGTTGGTTTGTGCTTTGGCTACAGTGCTGGGGGAAGGCTGAGGTGTGTTAAGCCATACTATCAGAAGAAAAAGGTAAGTGGAGAAAAA